CTGCTGCTCAGGTGACTGGATACAAAAGTAGATGCCTGTGCCACGTGATGCCAGCAACAAGCTGTCTCTTCGTTCACACACAGTTGCACTAAATCAAGAAAAAAAATGATCTTTAGAACCTTTACCTTTACTAAGTTGCACTTATGTTCAGATTCTTCATCGCTTCACAGTCACTAGCTTCTAAGCCAGAGATAATGACACATGCTTACAATCCTAGCCACATGTCAGGTTGAAGCAGGAGAATTGCTAGAAGTTTAAGGCCAGCCCAGGATATGGTGGTAGTGCAGTGAGAGCTGTCAAGACACTATCTCAAAGAAGAAGAAGAAGAAAAAAGTAAAACAAATACTAGGCACAGACCATGAGCCCCAAATAAAGAAATTTCCTGTGCGAGTGTGTATGTGTGTGTGAGAGAGTGTGTGTTTGTGTGCCTGTGTGTGTGTGTGTGTGTATGTGCGTGTCCCTCTGTGTACATGCACATCAGTGGCATTGATCCTGTAGTGCTCATTTGAGGTTTGTCTTTGCTTGGAGAGTAACGCATGCTCAGCCAGCCATCGCCTTTCTGCGGGTCTGAACAGGCATCCCGCTCTCCTTGCCCTGTTCCCTGTTCTCACTGAAGTGGTGACTTTTGTAAGAAAAGCAATCTTAATACTCATACCACCGCTCGTGTCTTTGTTCATGCGCTTGATGTGTACTTCTACATGGTGTGTGCATCTTCTTTTTGTGTAGTGTCTTCATATATTTCAAGCAGCTGTCATGGATTGTGTTCCTGTTTTCCGTTTAAGTTCATTAACACGTAGCAACTTCCAAGTTTTTTTTCCCTCTCTCCTTGTCTTACATACCTCAATTTCTATTTTTATAAATTACCAAAGTGACCAATTCTGACTATATATTTCTATTGTAGACTTAGTCTATTATAGGTTTATTCTACAATAAATAATGTTTTCTTTCTCATGTTTTTTAAAGAAAGCACATATTGTTTTGTATAGGCTTTTTATCTGAGACTTTTTCACACTCTGAAGAGAAATGTCTTCTCTGTACAGTGTTCTGTCCTGTGGACCTACACCCACCTTTTTTTTTTTTTTTTTTAAGTGGAATCTCTGCTTATTTTTGATGTTCTTATAGAAGCGCTTATAGAGGAGCCCTAAGGGAAAGCTATTTCCTTCTGTTAAAAGAATGGAATGTCCCTCTGGGTGGAGACCAGACTAGGTCTCTTTCCTCAAGAGTTAACCCAGTTGCTCAGTCACCTGAAGGGTGGGTCCCCTCAAGTGGTGCTGAAGACAGGGATGAGTAATTATTCCCTTAATGAGACAGTGCGCTTCCACCCAGGCTCCCCATGCAGTCATGCTTCACCCGCACAGCTGTGAAGCCTACACTCTTTTTTGCGGCCTTAGTAATAAAAGCATAACTTTCTCCATTTTTTTTTCTTCTTTTTAGCTCTCTCTCTCTTTTCTATCCTTGCCAAAGCATGAGTAGAGCATGCCTTCCCAGGTATTCTAGTCTTTTTTTTTTTTCATCTTTTCTTTCCTTCCTTTCTTCCCTTTTTTTTGGGGGGGGCGGGGGAGAGGAGGATGAAAGGGTGTTATTGTTATTGTTTTGTTTGGGGTTTTTTTGGTTTGTTTGCTTGCTTATTTTTTGAGACAGGCTACCTCTAGCTGTTCTGGAACTCACATGTAGACCAGGCCAGCCTCTAACTCACAGAGATCTAGCTGTCTGTGCTCCCCTGGCGTCTTACTCGTTTCTAAGCTATGACTTGCCACCCCAACCAAGCCTGCACTGTTGCTGCAGCTTAGAAACTATGGATTGTTCCCTTTCTCCGTTTCCATCTTATTCCATCCCTGGGAAGATCAAGGAACTATAGAGATTTATAGTTTGCTGCCTTGAGGTTTTACTTTCAGACGCTAATAAAATTTTTCTCAACATTTTGTCTGAGCCTGTTGTTAAATTCTTCTATTAACAAGGCTTAGAACCCAGAGTAGAGACCCCATTTTTCCCCATAACAATACTTGGATATTGAAAATGTGCTGTAGAAAGAATGCTTGTACATGCAACATTTTGTACCAAGTAAATAATTATTTCTAGAACAAGAGTTACTAATCAGGTAGCTGGAGCGATGGCGCAGCTGTTAAGAGCATTAGTTGCTCTTCTAGAGGATCTGGGTTCAATTCTGAGCACCCACATAGCCCCTTATAGCGGTCTGGAACTCCAGTTCCAGGGGAACTGACTGGCACCTTTAGATATACATGCAGGCAAAACAGCAATGCACAAAGAATAAAAATAAATAAATCTTTTAAAAAAGAGACAGTTACTGAATCAAAAGGATTTCAGTTTCAATTTTACCCATTGCTCTTTTTGTAATTGACTGGGTCAAATTTACAATCCTCCTGCCTCCACCGAGCAAGGCTCCAGCTGCCTTATAAAAACTGTATGGGTCGATTTCTGTTTTTACCCACGATACATATTTCATCCTGCTTCCACAGTTCTAACAGTACAGAGCTGGCAAACTGTTTTTGTCAAACTGATGTTTTTCCTTCGTCTTTCTTGTTCTGAGACTAGACTGAATGTCTGGTCAGTGTTTCCTTCTCTCTAAGTTGGAGGTTTCATCGTTTTGCCTGCTGCTGTTCTCGTGTAGCCATGAGATCTTTGTATTTTTTTTAGGTATTTACCTTGATCAAATGAATTTAATTTTTCCCCAATTTTGATTTCCCTTCAGTGGTTTTTGCTATGTAGAAATAATTACCATTACCAGTCAGCTCTATTAATATTTGTGTTGTTTTGTTTGCTGACTTAGACAAGGAAGCCTAGGTCTTACCCAGGAATTAGTTTTAACAAACGTTTGTGTGATGTTAAGATGGAAACTATGGCTAGACTTTCTTCTGTCTTCTTTTTTATTCTCTGATTGTCTGACTTTGAGTTGAATTTTGAAATTAAAAAATAAATCTGTAGCCAAGTGAGGTAGCTCTTTAGTTACACACTTGTGTGGTGGGCATAAATAAATAAACAGATAAGTAAATCATAGTCTATGCTGTGATTGCAGGCCAGGTGTTACTGGTTGGCCTGGTACTTTCTGAGTTTTCTCTTACCTGCTCTCTTGACTCTGTTTTTTGTCCGATTGGGAAACGATCGTGATCGTAGTGCTTTGGCTCTAAGTTTCATATCATGCAGGGATGAAGGCATGCTCTGTCCTCTTTCCCTTAACTGCTACATCCCCTGCCTGCATGCCACCATGCCTTTCTCTCTTTATGAGCAAAGTGCCACTTATTTTTTTTTTTTAAGGAAGAAGAAAATGTGACATGTTGATACTGGCTTCGATTTTTATATGCAGGCAATATGTAAATGCATATGGTTTTAAGCATTTTTACTTTTAGCATAGTTTGTATATTTAAATATTGGGAACTTCCTTTTTTTTTTTAGAGGTTTTTATAAGATTGGGGAGTATAGCAATGATGACTCTGTACCTGATTCATCCTAACCAAGCTACCTTGTTGGAGTTGCTGTGGTTTCCTCTGGTGTTGGTGAGGAAGTTCTTAACATTTTACATTGTGGAAGTCTTCCTTAGGGAATGCAGAATGGAATCTCTCTCTGTGGATGTGTTTCAGCTGCACATCTAAAGTTATTTAAATACTTTTGAAAGTTGGATCAATAATAGCAACTGGGATTTGTGAACTGAATGAGTTTTTGGTAAGAGTAAGACATATTTTAAATTTTAAAAGGGCTTTTATTTTGGGACTCTTGGAAAGAAAAAGTATTCATATTGCAAGATGTGACTGCATATTCTCTCATTTTTCAGCCTCCTCAAAAAATAAAAGTACAGCTATGAAACAGGAGGAAATACATTTTAATAGGGACATTTCATAAAATCACAAGTAATAAACTTTTAAATTTATTTTTATTTCATTTATTTATTCTTTGGAAAGGGGTGTGTGTGCCATGGTGGCATATAGAGGTCAGAGGACAGACTGTAGAATTAATTCTCCCCTTCCACCTGAGAGTCACAGGGACCAAACTCAGGTCTTCAGGTTTGGCATCAAGTGCCTTTTCCCACTGGGCCATCTCATCAGTCCCAGTATAAAACTATTCTTTATAAGTGATGATTTTTATAGGATAAGTCATTTTATATGATACGTCATTTAAAAGCTGTTGGATCCCCTTACTTAATACCAAACCAGTAACACCAATGATACTGTCGAGAATCCTTAATTAAAAGCTAACCTGCTAACAAAGATGTCTAATACAATTTTGATAATTCACAGGCCAAACACTGATACTTAAATAAAGGAAGCTGTGTAGTATTACAAGCACTCATGAATTTTTCTTTATCGATTTTGGCGCGAACGCTGCTTACTTTCTAGTCTGTGTTCCCCAAGGATCTCTTCTTTTCACGCTTGTGGTTTTAAAATGTGAAAGTAAGTTTTGGAACTTGACACTTTAGCACTGTCAAAACTCTGTAACTCAAAGTTAAACCTTTCAAATTATAATTAGTTATTTCTTGAAGATGTTTTTTTTTTTTTTTTCCCTCAGTAAATTCTGAAACCTTTGTCCAGAAAAAGAAAGTTCATGTAGATAATTTCAAGGTCCACTTCAAAGATACTTTGAAGTATAAGTACGTAATTTACTCATTGATATAAAGAGCCAGCCACAATGCAGATCCCTTACCTATTCATGATTATTTTTCTTTTTGTATAGGACAATAACATATGCTCAGAAATGTTCTTTACACATATTTATAAATGTTGACAAATAGCAAATAGTTTATTGTTCGTATTTTTGTACTTCATACAATCATTTGTATTTGTCACTCCATATAAAGAGTTTTTACATAGCCAAAATAAAAACATATTTTAATAACTTCATTAATACTTAGAATCTTTTTTTTTAAAACATGTTTTATGATAGTCATAAAATAAGTTATTAGAATGCATTGGGAGTAATCATTCACCATTGGTTAGGAGATGAGTCGGCTTATAGAAGTGAACCAGCTTTGCTTTATTTTTTCCCCGTAGGCAGAGCTCACAGTTTGGAGATGAAAAAACATTTAATGATCCATCACTGCTGGAAAATCTGCAGAATAACCATGTAAGTGGCATCAGAACAGCATCTGTCCCCTAAGAGATGAACACTAATGAGCAGTTCTCAGATTTCCTCCATTTGCTTCTTTTTATTGTTACTTGTATGATCTTTTTTTTTAGATTTATTTTATTTATGTGTTAATGCCTTAAATGCCTCCTGTGTCCAGAGACTTTTCCTTTCACTAGATTTGAAGAAATTTCTGCTGTGATTTTATTGAGTCTATTTTATGTACCCTTTTAAATGGAAAGGGGAGTTATGAATATTGTTAGAGTAAACAAAATTTAAATGTTATTAAAGCTAGAAAAAAATTGAAACATATATAAGGATAGGGCGGGGTGAAAAACTGAAGTAGGAATAAAATGGTTGTAGATATGAGATAGAACACAGTAGAATACCTTAACCTAGCTGGGCAAAATAAAACATGTAAATAAATGCTAGTGAAGGTTCTTTTTTAAAATAGCAAAAAATAAAAAATAAAATAAAATGACATTAAACTAAAATGCAAGGTGTTATATCATCAGTCAAAATTTCTTCCTTGCATATGGCGTCAGTTATGCCGCTCTTGTCCCTCAGGTGTCTCATTGATAGGATTTCATTGTGTTGGTAAGAGAGTGCCTGCCCACCTTAGGATATTTCGCCTGTCCAGATCGTAGTACCTCAGCTCCCTGCCCAGCCCCTGTTTCTGTCATCACTGATGGCACACTGACCTGGAATGCAAGCCACACCTTCCTGGCTTCCCCCGTCCCTCACGGAGTCTCCAGAGCTGGCCCCCACCCTCATTACCACTCTGCCTTGAGCAACTTTTCCTTTCTTTCTCCAGAGGCCACAGTGGCCTTCTTTTATTTTTTTCAAATACTTCCATCTTTCTCCTTTGGGGCCTTATTAGTTACATGCCATTCTTCCCAATGGAATTGAAGCTAAGATTTCTCCCATATATCTATCTCTAGATGCTGTCACCTCCCATGACATTTGCATATTCTCCTTACAGTCCTTAGCATGCTGTAAATAAACAATGCTGTCACTTATGTATGCCCTGTCTTCCCACAAGTCTAAGCATTATGTGGCTAGGACCAGACATGTTTTGTCCACTCTCTTAGACTAAGCAGGTTTTTTTCCCCCATAACCTGATTTAACCTCTTCAGTTGGTTCACTTTATGAATGGAGGTTTTACGAACATAGACACACATTACTTTTCTTTAAATTAACTCAAATGGCACTTCTCTTCAGAAGCCAGGCATGAAGATGTTTAACATTGGTATCTAGGTTCCTTTCTCATCGGATCTGAGATGCTGACAGAAAGGATTCACTCTTCATCCATCCTCTTTCAATCCCCAAGAGTTGGTAGTACTCAGTGATAGATAGATAGATAGATAGATAGATAGATAGATAGATAGATAGAT